CCTAACAGGGCCAACTAACCTATTCCTACTCTTCCACCCAGGAGCATCGTTGAGGCGTTAAAGGCTCGGTATTCAGCTATTCCGCCGATGAGGACTCTGGTTGCGAGAATTTTGAGATCTCCCGTTGTGATGAGGCCTAAGGATCTTAGATGTTTCGCCGATTCCGAGCTCCACACTCCTCTCCAAGATAGGGTGGCCGATCCCACGACGACGTTTCGGACTCCATGTTTCTGTTTGATCGCTTCTATTACGGATGGATGGCTGTAGTATTCCACCTTTTTCTTGTGGGCATTGTTCAGGTCTGTTTGTTCGCTGACTACTTGGGCGTCTACCACGATCGCTGTCTCCCCAAGTGTTGCTACGATGTCAGGTTTTCTTAGTCCCTCTGCGGTTCTGTAGTGGGGCTCCAGAAGCACCTTATATCCTCCTCTGCCAAGTCTTCGCGTCATGTAGGTTGGGATTGCGTCGTGACGTTTTATCCTTTGGGCGTGCGTTCTATGGCACTGCTGTAGTACGTGGTTCAGAGTTTCTTGTGCGGCGCAGCCGCCTCTGCATCTCCTATCCCCCGTTCTACCTCTTGTTGAGCGCGACTTGGTCGGCATGGCTCCGATTCTGAGTTTCACACAGTTTAGGTAGTCCTTGCCGGAGAGGAGCATATTGCCGTCTGCCACCCATTGGTGTTGATGGGGGGTCTTCTCGGAGTTCCTGAGGCCGCAACCGTCCACCGAGTTTAGGAGTCTTGCCTTCCATCGTTCGTTCACCATCTCGATCGTATTATGAAGCGTGCCGTGGTCAGTTAGTCTTCTGTTACATTGGGTTATTTCCTGGTTAGCATATTCGTTGAATCCTTGCTGAGAGTGGGTCCTTCTGGCCGCAATGATCCTTCCGCGTCGGTGGAGTGGTGCATACCATCTCACCGATGGGATTCCGAGGCCGCCGTCTTTAACTGTGGCGTGGAAGTATGCCACCGGTGTGTCGTGGGGCAGAGCTATCCATTTCCTTGTTGCTGACCGTACAAGTGCGTCTATTTTATTTAGTGTGCCGATTGTGATTGCCCCCAGTGCTAGTTGGTAGTAAAGTCTGGGTAGCACCACTGTGCGGAGGGCGAAGAGCCTCTGTTGCGGTTTCAGCGGCGCCTTGCTCAGGTTGTTCAACATTGGCCTCAGTATTTCTCCTGGGCGTCCTCGTGCTCGGCCTTCGAGTGTGAAGAAGACGCCAAGGTATCGCCACCTTGTTTCTCGGCCCACGGCTGGTAGGAGATCCCCTGAGGCCCGGAAGGCGGCCGTGGTGTCCACCATGGTCTTTTTGGTGTGTGCGTTCGCTACTACGCTGATGGTCATACTTTTGGTGGTATTGACCGACATGCCGCAATCGGCCAGGTAGTCCACCGTTGTATTGATTAGTTGTTGGAGGCCTGTCGGTGTGGATGCGAACAGCAGCAAGTCATCAGCGAAAGCAGCCGCATTGATTGTTGTGTCACCCAGCCGGACCCCGACATCACCCGGGAGGAGTCCCAGCAGTCCGTGCGTGAGGGCATTGAATACCACTGGGGACAGTGGGTCTCCTTGTCGTACTCCTCTTTTTGGGTGTCTGTAGCTTGATGTCCAGGTGCTTCCTTCGAGACGTGTGGTTGATCCCTCATACACGTTTTTTAGATATTCGACCATGGGTGGTGGTAGGCCCATGTTTTCCAGTGTGGTGGTGATTGCTGCATGTGACACCGAGTCGAAGGCTTTGCTTACATCAAGTGAGGCGATATATACCGGTTTGATGTTTTTCCTGTGGAATCTTAATATGGTGTCTAGTAGGAAGATGTTGTCGGCACATCCGTCGGTACTCCTGAAGGCCCGTTGTCGGTGGTCGATATCGAGTAGAGCTTCCATCCGCTTTGCCAGGATTTTGTGGAGGCCTCGAACTAGTACTGAAGGAATCGTGATAGGTCGGTAGTCTCCTGGTTCTTTAGCGTCTTTTGTTTTTGGGATAAAGACTGTGCGTGATCGGAGTAGGTATTCCGGTAGGCGTCCGCACCACATCAGGAGGTTGTATATCCTTATTAGGACCTCTGTTGGTATCGAGCGCAGCAGTCGTGGGGACAGGCCATCTGGGCCTGCAGCGGATGAGATCTCCGGCCGACCCAGTTTCATGTCCCTGGCCTCGATTGGGGCCCAGATGCCTTCGATCATGGGCGTTCTTCTTCTTGCGGGTGTGTTGTTGGAGGTTGTGTTCATGATCTGTGACCAGTAAGGTTTCATGATTTCCGCTGGTGGCTGCTTGGTGTCGTTTAGCCCGTCTAGGATTGATGTTATGCATCTTCTTCTGTCTTTTTTCCAGAGTCTCTGCGTCGTTGCGTATGCCTGGCGTCTGGCCTCCCTTCTTCCAGTAGGTTCCAGTGTGTCCGTCCTTCTTCTTCCCGCGTTATTTTTCTTTGTGGTCACGGGAAGGATTTCCCTCAGGTACAGCGCTAGCTTGTGTAGTGTTTCTTTCTTTCCTGATCTTCTGGCATTCCTGGCTATTAGGTGTATTTTTTCGGCTTGGAAGTCTGTGGAGCGTGGTGGAGGCATGGACTCAAGGAAACCGAGGAAGGCTTCCTCTATGGGTTCGTTTGCATTGTCCTCGGGTTGGTTGTTGTCCTCGTAGTTCGCCGCTGCCTGTCGTCGCAGTTCTGCCACCATGGTTTTGTAGTCTTCCCTCTTTCTTCTGCCTTTTATCCCTTCTAGAGATCTTGTTAGAAAGAATCTATGGAGCTCCTGATTCATGAATCTTGGTGGATTCCCATTCTCGGTCAATTCGACCTCTTTTCTGGCCAAGAGGGCCACTTCTTCCTGTGTCCACCTGGTTTTGTCGCCGGGGGCCTCTTGTCTCGCATCGTACCATTCTTTGTGGGTCCTTTGTTGGTGTACTCCTCTGCCTCTTGCTGATTGGAAGTTCCTGTTGCATCCTGGGAAGTCGCATAGGAAAGCTGCCGGCTCCACTGGTTGGGGTAGTGCTGGTGTGGGAAGGCCTGTGGGCCCCCCACGTTCGTCCGAAGCTTGGTTTCTCCGTGTTGCAGGGCCAACATGTACGAGCGGAGGGGCTGGCAACCCCAGGGCTTGGTGACGCCGAAGTCTCCCTCTTCCCCACCGTTCTCGTTCTGTCAGAGAGGGTGGAGGGCGAGTTCCCCTTTGGGGGGGGGGGGGAGATTCGACTTGGTGGCATCCCCGAAAAATTCCGGAGCATGCGCACCCTGTAGACATCGTTCGCCTTCTTCCGAATCTGCATTCGGATCCCCGAGAAAAATCCTTTCCAGAATTTCTGGTTCTGGGTGGGATCGAACTCGGCTCTCCATATTACTAATCCAGTATCTAGCATGGGCGTCTACTGACTCGCCTTAAGAGAGTCATAGGTACTCCCGCCGTTTAACCGCGCTTGCTTGAATTTCTTCACCTTGACATTCAGAGCACTGGGCAGAAATCACATTGCGTCAACACCCGCGAGGGCCATCGCAATGCTTTGTTTTAATTAGACAGTCGGATTCCCCTAGTCCGTGCCAGTTCTGAGCTGAGCGTTGAATGGCGGCCGAAGAGGACGACCGCGACAGCTCGCGCCGCCGCTGAAGCCTCGCAGCAAGGAAGATCCGCGGGAGGCCAAGGCACGGGACCGAGCTCGGATCCCGGTACCGGCGCGAGAACGCCGAGCGTTCACCTCGCCCAGGCACGGCACGTCAGCCAGACCCGCTTCCCGACCAAGCCCGACACGCCCCGCTCCTCAGAGCCAATCCTTATTCCGAAGTTACGGATCCAATTTGCCGACTTCCCTTACCTACATTAGTCTATCGACTAGAGGCTCTTTACCTTGGAGACCTGCTGCGGATATGGGTACGAACCGGCGCGACACCTCCACGTGGCCCTCTCTTGGATTTTCAAGGTCCGAGGGGAAGATCCGGACACCGCCGCAACTGCGGTGCTCTTCGCGTTTGTATGCAATTCCGCTGCGCAGCGTGGTAACTGCTCTACCGAGTACAACACCTCGCCAGGTACCTATGTCGTCTACAGACGATTCCGAGTCTCGACATCGAACTCGCGAAACTCATGTTCGACCGTTAGACGCCGTGCCGTCGCACAGTGGGACGAGAAGTTCATTTTGTTATTAAAATTCGAGCCGTGCGCCAATTCTTAACGGATCTTTATTATTTTTTTTAATTTTTCAGGAATTGAATAAGCTATACAAATATCCTGCGCCAATTTTGATTTCGTTCTAAATTCAAAATGGCGGATCACATGAAGTGGGCATAAAATGTCAAAACTGTACGAATGCGAGTAAATTTGTAACAAACCGTGCATGTATTTACGAAAAAATATTATGTGTTGTATAGTCGATAATGACGAATCTGCAGTTTAAG